CCAGAAAGAAAGAGGGAGGCGAGACAGACAGACAGGAAGGGCGAGGCGAGGCGAGACAGACAGGAAGAGAGAGGCGAGGCGAGACAGACAGGACGAGCGAGGCGAGGCAAGACAGACAGGACGAGCGAGGCGAGACAGACAGGAAGAGCGAGGCGAGGCGGGCCAGACAGACAGACAGGAAAAGCGAGGCGAGACAGACAGACAGACAGACAGACAGACAGACAGACAGACAGACAGACAGACAGACAGACAGACAGACAGACAGACAGACAGACAGACAGACAGACAGACAGACAGACAGACAGACAGACAGACAGACAGACAGACAGACAGACAGACAGACAGACAGACAGACAGACAGACAGACAGACAGACAGACAGACAGACAGACAGACAGACAGACAGACAGACAGACAGACAGACAGACAGACAGACAGACAGACAGACAGACAGACAGACAGACAGACAGACAGACAGACAGACAGACAGACAGACAGACAGACAGACAGACAGACAGACAGACAGACAGACAGACAGACAGACAGACAGACAGACAGACAGACAGACAGACAGACAGACAGACAGACAGACAGACAGACAGACAGACAGACAGACAGACAGACAGACAGACAGACAGACAGACAGACAGACAGACAGACAGACAGACAGACAGACAGACAGACAGACAGACAGACAGACAGACAGACAGACAGACAGACAGACAGACAGACAGACAGACAGACAGACAGACAGACAGACAGACAGACAGACAGACAGACAGACAGACAGACAGACAGACAGACAGACAGACAGACAGACAGACAGACAGACAGACAGACAGACAGACAGACAGACAGACAGACAGACAGACAGACAGACAGACAGACAGACAGACAGACAGACAGACAGACAGACAGACAGACAGACAGACAGACAGACAGACAGACAGACAGACAGACAGACAGACAGACAGACAGACAGACAGACAGACAGACAGACAGACAGACAGACAGACAGACAGACAGACAGACAGACAGACAGACAGACAGACAGACAGACAGACAGACAGACAGACAGACAGACAGACAGACAGACAGACAGACAGACAGACAGACAGACAGACAGACAGACAGACAGACAGACAGACAGACAGACAGACAGACAGACAGACAGACAGACAGACAGACAGACAGACAGACAGACAGACAGACAGACAGACAGACAGACAGACAGACAGACAGACAGACAGACAGACAGACAGACAGACAGACAGACAGACAGACAGACAGACAGACAGACAGACAGACAGACAGACAGACAGACAGACAGACAGACAGACAGACAGACAGACAGACAGACAGACAGACAGACAGACAGACAGACAGACAGACAGACAGACAGACAGACAGACAGACAGACAGACAGACAGACAGACAGACAGACAGACAGACAGACAGACAGACAGACAGACAGACAGACAGACAGACAGACAGACAGACAGACAGACAGACAGACAGACAGACAGACAGACAGACAGACAGACAGACAGACAGACAGACAGACAGACAGACAGACAGACAGACAGACAGACAGACAGACAGACAGACAGACAGACAGACAGACAGACAGACAGACAGACAGACAGACAGACAGACAGACAGACAGACAGACAGACAGACAGACAGACAGACAGACAGACAGACAGACAGACAGACAGACAGACAGACAGACAGACAGACAGACAGACAGACAGACAGACAGACAGACAGACAGACAGACAGACAGACAGACAGACAGACAGACAGACAGACAGACAGACAGACAGACAGACAGACAGACAGACAGACAGACAGACAGACAGACAGACAGACAGACAGACAGACAGACAGACAGACAGACAGACAGACAGACAGACAGACAGACAGACAGACAGACAGACAGACAGACAGACAGACAGACAGACAGACAGACAGACAGACAGACAGACAGACAGACAGACAGACAGACAGACAGACAGACAGACAGACAGACAGACAGACAGACAGACAGACAGACAGACAGACAGACAGACAGACAGACAGACAGACAGACAGACAGACAGACAGACAGACAGACAGACAGACAGACAGACAGACAGACAGACAGACAGACAGACAGACAGACAGACAGACAGACAGACAGACAGACAGACAGACAGACAGACAGACAGACAGACAGACAGACAGACAGACAGACAGACAGACAGACAGACAGACAGACAGACAGACAGACAGACAGACAGACAGACAGACAGACAGACAGACAGACAGACAGACAGACAGACAGACAGACAGACAGACAGACAGACAGACAGACAGACAGACAGACAGACAGACAGACAGACAGACAGACAGACAGACAGACAGACAGACAGACAGACAGACAGACAGACAGACAGACAGACAGACAGACAGACAGACAGACAGACAGACAGACAGACAGACAGACAGACAGACAGACAGACAGACAGACAGACAGACAGACAGACAGACAGACAGACAGACAGACAGACAGACAGACAGACAGACAGACAGACAGACAGACAGACAGACAGACAGACAGACAGACAGACAGACAGACAGACAGACAGACAGACAGACAGACAGACAGACAGACAGACAGACAGACAGACAGACAGACAGACAGACAGACAGACAGACAGACAGACAGACAGACAGACAGACAGACAGACAGACAGACAGACAGACAGACAGACAGACAGACAGACAGACAGACAGACAGACAGACAGACAGACAGACAGACAGACAGACAGACAGACAGACAGACAGACAGACAGACAGACAGACAGACAGACAGACAGACAGACAGACAGACAGACAGACAGACAGACAGACAGACAGACAGACAGACAGACAGACAGACAGACAGACAGACAGACAGACAGACAGACAGACAGACAGACAGACAGACAGACAGACAGACAGACAGACAGACAGACAGACAGACAGACAGACAGACAGACAGACAGACAGACAGACAGACAGACAGACAGACAGACAGACAGACAGACAGACAGACAGACAGACAGACAGACAGACAGACAGACAGACAGACAGACAGACAGACAGACAGACAGACAGACAGACAGACAGACAGACAGACAGACAGACAGACAGACAGACAGACAGACAGACAGACAGACAGACAGACAGACAGACAGACAGACAGACAGACAGACAGACAGACAGACAGACAGACAGACAGACAGACAGACAGACAGACAGACAGACAGACAGACAGACAGACAGACAGACAGACAGACAGACAGACAGACAGACAGACAGACAGACAGACAGACAGACAGACAGACAGACAGACAGACAGACAGACAGACAGACAGACAGACAGACAGACAGACAGACAGACAGACAGACAGACAGACAGACAGACAGACAGACAGACAGACAGACAGACAGACAGACAGACAGACAGACAGACAGACAGACAGACAGACAGACAGACAGACAGACAGACAGACAGACAGACAGACAGACAGACAGACAGACAGACAGACAGACAGACAGACAGACAGACAGACAGACAGACAGACAGACAGACAGACAGACAGACAGACAGACAGACAGACAGACAGACAGACAGACAGACAGACAGACAGACAGACAGACAGACAGACAGACAGACAGACAGACAGACAGACAGACAGACAGACAGACAGACAGACAGACAGACAGACAGACAGACAGACAGACAGACAGACAGACAGACAGACAGACAGACAGACAGACAGACAGACAGACAGACAGACAGGACGAGCGAGGCGAGACAGACAGACAGACAGGACGAGCGAGGCGAGACAGACAGGAAGAGTGAAAATGGAAAACCATTTTCCATTTCCAAAACCTCAAAATTCATCCTTTGAAACCCATTTTAAAATCCGACGTTGCATTACCATGAAAATGCTACATCAAAATCACGTCACAAAATGTTTTCATTCATGAATTATGAAAAATGTAAGTTTGGATCGTGCGCTTTCACGTCTACGTTCAAAAATGTGATTGACAATTAAAGGGTTAATTAATCTATATTTTATTTATAAAAAGAAACCTATGCAGTGTTTTTTTACTTTTAATTACAGCTTCTGTAGCTGAAATTTGGTTCAGTTGTATTTATTTATGCTGTTTCTAATTGATTTGTTCGTTCCTATTTTATTACTGACTGTTTACTTGTCTTTAACACTGATATATTTGAAGTGTTCTGATTTTTGTTCGTGTTATTCAGCTATAAAATAACAAAAATTAAAAAACGACAATAAAGAGCAACACTGTTGTTGTGTTTTTTCATCAGAGCCGCTCTTTGATAATTCAGCAGGACGGTTTGTAACATGTTGAGCAACAGGAAGTGACTGGTTTTGAGCTCCAGGGTCACATATGTTGAGCAACAGGAAGTGACACGTACCATCTTCTCTTCCTGTCTGCGGCGCTGGTCGATCTTCTGCTGCTCCTCCAGAGCCAAACGCTCCCGCAGACGCCGCTGGTTCTTCAGCATCTCCTCGTGGAAGGAGCTCGAGGGAGGAACGTTGTGCTCCGTCAGAAAACCCTGAACACAATCCGCCAACTCGTAGATCATCACCTGAGAGAGGAAGAGGAGGAAGAGGAAGAGATGTCATAAAACAATACCATTCAAACAGAGCCATCCTCTTCTGCAGCACCTCCTGAACTCTTACATTTATTCATATTAAAAATATTATATACATTTATATCAACATTATTAGTTTTCACTGCATTGCAGTAAATATACGGGCATATTTTATTATTATATTTAAATAATTTTATAAATATTTTCCTTTTTTTACAGCATTGAAGTAAATCATATGGGCCTATTTTATTATTATTATACAAGTAATTAATTTTATAAAATTTTTATTTTTTACAGTATTGAAGTACATCATATGGGCCTAGTTTATTATATATATTTTATTTTTTTTATTAAATAATTAATTATTAAAATATTATTATTATTACTTTTTTTTTTTCTCAACTATATTAAGAAGAACCATTATTAATAATTGAGTACCAATAATAAAGCAGCAGATCAGCATATTATACTGATTTCTGAAGATCATGTGACACTGAAGACTGGAGTAATGATGCTGAAAATACAGCTGCGCATCACAGAAATACATTACAGTTTAACAGAGATTCACACAGAAAACAGCTGTTTTACATTATAATAATATTTCACTGTTTTTACTGTATTTTGTGCATATGCGGTAGTGCACATGCACGCGTATTGAAGAAAATGAGACGTGTTTAATATCTCTAAATGTCCTAAGCGTCTGCGAGCGTCTCACCTCTCCGCATCGGTCTCGGGCCAGTTTGTCGAGCTCTTTCTGGAGTCGCTCTAGTTTGTCGAAGGACAAGCCTTTAGCGTTCTTCAGCTCCAGCTCCGGAGGCCTGACGACACACGATCAAATCACAATCATTCAGAAATCAGTCATGCACTTTAAAGACAGATCTCTGTGACAGTTATGTGTCATTATGAATAGAGTAATATAAAGTACTGAAATAAATAACGCACTAAATATTTAGGTACAGTTCGTATTAATATTAATGTTCAAAATATCAATAGATCAGTATGTATTACTATTGAAATAACCAGATCGGTGTTAGAAGGTTAATCAAAACAAAGGTGTGTGTTACTTTGTAGAGTAATTTGCAACAGCTTCGAACGCGGCTCAGCCAATCAGAGCCAAGCACCGGAACTCTCCGCTTTATAAAGAAACAAAACCTGTGCTACTTGAAAGAAAATATTAAATCCATGATTTGTTGATGATATAGCATAATCTGAGACTTACAAGCAGTTTTTTTAAAAGGACGCTCATTTTTAACTGGGAACTTTTAGCAGAGCACAGATGTTCAAATCTCAGGGAGACTTCAAGTAATGAGTTATTAATCATTATTATTAGCCTAATAAACAGACTCACACATCAGGATATGTCGGTGGACATTTGACCTGCAGGTCCACTGAGACGTAACTGGTCTGTCCGTAAGCGAGTCCCTTCGGCCGCAGGGTCAGGTAAACCTCTGGAGGACGACTGCCCTACAAAACACACCACACACACTGGAACCGGACAGTGTAATAACACATGATGCACTGAGCTCATTAACATATGACACGCCCACACACACAGGAACCGGACAGTGTAATAACACATGATGCACTGAGCTCATTAGCATATGACACGCCCACACACACAGGAACCGGACAGTGTAATAACACATGATGCACTGAGCTCATTAGCATATGACACGCCCACACACACTGGAACCGGACAGTATAACACATGATGCACTGAGCTCATTAGCATATGACACGCCCACACACACTGGAACCGGACAGTATAACACATGATGCACTGAGCTCATTAGCATATGACACGCCCACACACACTGGAACCGGACAGTATAACACATGATGCACTGAGCTCATTAGCATATGACACGCCCACACAAACACTGGAACCGGTACCATATAACACATGCACTGAGCTCATTAGCATATGACAAGCCCACACACACTAGAACCGGACAGTATAACACATGATGCACTGAGCTCATTAGCATATGACACGCCCACACACACTGGAACCGGACAGTATAACACATGATGCACTGAGCTCATTAGCATATGACACGCCCACACACACTGGAACCGGACAGTATAACACATCATGAACTCCTCACATCAGCATAATACACGCCCCCCCCCACTCGC